TTTTAATTTGGTTTTAATTTTAATTTTAGTTTTAATTTTAGTCTAATTTCTATTTTAATTTTATTTTAGTTTTTTTGTTTAGTTTTGGTAAAAAGTTAAAAAAAAGTCAAAAATAAAAAGAAAAAAAGGTGAAAAATCTTTTGGGTCTTGATTCAATTGAATGTTAAGATTTATTGATTAATCAATTATGGGAAACTTGGGTTTTAATTCATGCCAAAAATCATACAGAATTTGTGAAATCCTAGATTTAATAGAATTTAAAATTTCCAAGTTTGAAAGGATTCAATCCTTATAAAAGACACCCCCAATCTATGAATAAGGAAGGAATTGAGCAGCAACAACAACAATCAATCGGTAGAAAAAACTCATTCGATAGCCCCATTAATTTTGGACCCCAACAAGCAAGAAAGAAGTAATCCTGCAAACAAAACCAGTTTCCTACAATACCCAAAGCTCAACATACAAAAACAGATCCGATCAGCAAACAATCAAGCACAGAGCAATACAATACATCCAGCAATCGAGCATACATAGATAGCAATCAAGCATTAATCAATTAAGCAGAAGTAATCATCAAAAAGAAATTAAAGCAACAAATGCATAAGCAAGCACAATAACCAACAATTGAAATCGAAATCCAATAGAAAGTCTTCAATTAACAGACCTTAAAATCACCCAAACCTAGAAGCAATAGAAAATCAGCAAAGAGCCACAAAGGTGATGTTAAGGAAGTTTCAGTGAAGAAAATAGGGAAAAAAATCAAATTAAACTTACTAGGCTTTTTCTTTGCTAGGTTGGACAATCTTAGAGAAGCAAAAAGTGCGGCTGATGAAAGTTTGACTCCATTATTAACTGTTATGTTTGTGAAGAAAAGAATGAAAATACTTAAATTATAGCATTTTGAACTCAGCAGAAAGGGATCCGCGTGCCATTAAGCTTGACCCGACCTGTTCTTTTTAGGTTTGATTTTTTTCTTCTCTTTTTTTTAACTTATTATTATTAGTTATTATTCTCCTTAATTTTAATTTAATGCTTGTTAGTTTAGATTTTTTTAATAGTATTTGTGTATGATTTATTTTTGCATGAATAATTATTTTATTGTATGAATTTAATTTAATTGCATGTTTTCACATGAATAATTATAATATATATATATATTGCATGAATAATGATAATACATTTATTTGCATGATTACCTAATATATTTTTGCATGAATGCATGATTATTATAATATTTCATGATTATTAACATATTTAATTACATGTTTATTTATAAATTATTTGCATAATAATATATTTAATTGCATGTTTGCATGAATATTAATATATATACTTGCATAATTATTTTATATTTGCATGATTATTTAGTACATTTATGTGTGATTGCATGTTATTAATATATTTATTTGTATGATTATTAATATGTTATTTGTGTGATTTATAATTATTTTGCATGATATTTTATTTGATTACATGGTAATTAATAAATTTGCATGATTATTGATATTATTGCATGATAATTAATTTGCATGATATAATTTTATATTTATTGTATGAGTACTTGATATTTTGATAGAATTTTTTGTATCACCATGTTATGATTTTGATTTGCATGATAAAAACCATCTTTGACAAGACTTAGGTAAGATAACATCTAATTAATGTGGTACCAATTTTGGGCATAATGAGTGCTAATATTGTTCATGTACGTAACCGACTCCTGAACCTTAGTTCTATTGATGTATACCAGAATTTATTTTTTTAGGGACCTTCAGCTTGGGCTTAAGATACCTTAAAAAGGATATATTCACATAGGTGGCTAATCATACCTAACTAAAAATGATTAGTGGTGACTCTATGATTTTTGTGTTTAATTGGTAGGTTCTTCTAACCTAAACATTATGACAACAAGTACAAACAAGTTATTAACTTTACAAACATTAAGTAACAAGAATAAAGTATAAGCATAATTGTGATTGAATTGATTACCTGGCCATTTCATATATTGGTAGCAACATGATACCTAAAACTTTCAAGGATAAAAGTATCTGTTGATCTTCTAAGAAAGGCTTAGATTGCTGGTGGGTGCGAGCTACCTTTTTTACAACAATATCATCCTTTACAGGTCTAACAATTGACTCATCAACATGTTCTTCTAATTCTTGTTATTGCCTCCAGAGGCATATGGACACCCCCGATCCTCCAAAAGGCCAAGCCTAACTATGTTATAACCTTGACCTTTACCAAAGCTGCCCCTTTTATTCATGCCATATTAGTTGTCACATATAACAAAATATCGAACAGTCAATTCAACAATTTAACAATTTCACATAGAACACAATAGTTTGGGGTATAAGGTTTGAGTTTAAGTTTTGAGGTTTAGAGTTTTTATTTTGGGATTTGGGGTTTAAGGATTAAGGTTTAAAGGTTTAGGGTGTTTAGGAGTCCAAATTTACAATCCAAAGCTTTTGGAACCATATCCGAAGGCTTTTGAAAATTTTCAAAAATTCATGTTTGGAACCTATAATTTCACGCACAATATTCATCTAGACCCTAAATAGAATCAACCAAATCGAAGACAAATTACCTTTAAATTGAAACTTGTTAACTTGATTAACTCTGAAAATTAATGAATCTAGCTTGAGGGTTTGAATTGGGGTTTCAAGATTTAAAAAGGATTTTACCATTTGTAAGTTTATAGATAATCGAGAGGTAAATGATGAAATGGGTGGTAAGGGTTATAGAAGTATTAAGTAAAAAGGGATTTGAGAATTTTGAATGTTGGGTGTAATAAATAATTGGGGGTAAAAAGAAAACAAAAAATAGGTGTTGATAGAACTACCTAGAAAAGGAAGAAAGGGCTTGTAAGGGAGTGGAAGAATTGGGCTTCGTGCCTTATGTGATGTGATGTATTTAGCCCCAATGAAAAAAAGGTTGTATCTCTTCCTTTTGTAACAGAAACAGAGGATTCCAATCAACAACGAGTTACTCTTAGATAGGGATTTTTGGATAGGAACATAGTTACTTTGAAGGAAGCTGCAGCTATTTGAGACGTTGGAAAGCAACTAAAATTGACGAGGTGGGAATGGCAAGATTTATGCTTGTTTGGATAATTAGCTATTCGATGATTGTGATTTGTGCGGGGTGGTTCTGGTGTATGTGGTTAATTCTGTTAGTTCAGTTCATTACTGTGGGTGTGAGAAATGAGGATAGTTTCATGGAACATTATGGTTTGTCTAGTGGAATAAAATGTAAATTTCGATGTGGTCAATTTACTTTGTAATCATAGAGGTGTTGATTTTCGAGCTTAAGATGAAATTTTGTGATAATAAGCAGATTGAATATTTTGGTCATATGAGAATGTTGACTAGGTGTTTAGTCCAGCACAAAGGTGATATGATGGTTTGTGGACAATTTGGATAAGAATGCTTTCATCAAGAGTGGTGAAGGATAGATTTGTAATGATGAAAGAAAGATGAACGCTCCATGATTTTGACTTTATCTTGGTTAATGTTTATGCCCTGTGTTCTTGGTGATAAGAAGAAAATATGATAAGAGTTGTTGGAATTGAAAGATGGTATTGGAAGAAACTGTGTTTGGTTGGGATGTTAATACATTTAAATATATTGATAAGAAGATGGGATGTATCTAGGGGTGTAAACGAAATAACAATTCATAAATATGTTCGGTTTTTATTAATTTATAATTGTTTATTAAGTTTAACAAATGATAACAAACAATATTTTAAGATTATTAATTAAACGAACAATTCATAAATATAGCATGATTTATTTGTGAAAATTAATAGAGTGTTTAATAAATAATTCATGAACATGTTCAATTTTTATTCTTTTATATCCTTTTATTAAGTTTAGCAAATAATTACATTCATGATTCGTTAATTAAACAAACAGATTATGAATATAATAATGTTCATTCATGTTTGGTTTGTTTGCACCCCTAAATGTATCTCCAATGGAAGTGGGGCAACAAATTTTAAGAATTTTATTAATTTTGGAATGCTTATCCATCTTGGATGTTTCCTTTGAGGACGGATGGTGCATTTGTTTTCGGTGGAGGTTTTTAGACAGTGCATTTATTTTGGGCGGAGCTTTTTGGATGAGATCAGGTAGCTTGGATTTTTTTCCTATGAGATGGTTCTGAAGTCTAATGTTTTCAACATGAAGATTTGATTGTTGTAGATTTTGTGGCCATTAAAGTTGCTTTAGAGATTCTCTCTTTAGGTTGGGAGTGAACGGATTTGATCTCCTATACTTGGTTATTTCAGATTTTGGTGTATGATTTTTGTAATGGCTATGATGTTTTTAGCTATCGCCTGTTGCGTTTAGGTATGGACCTTGTTTAAAAAGCATTCAACTTTTTAATTATTTTTCTGCTTGAAATTTTAATATTGGCTGAGAAAAATTCACAACAGTGACGAATGTAATTATTATTATCTTATCTATTATGACCCAACGATAATAATACTATGCAATTGAAAACATGATGGCAAACGAATGTTAAATTTCTAAATACTTCTTCACCATATTGCTTCAATTTTTTTTTTTATGATAATGAGATAAAATATTTTAAAGAGTTAATTACATTTTTAGTATTTAAATTTTAAAAGATGTATAAATTGATACTTAAAAAAATAAAATATATAATTTATACTTTAAACTTTTAAATTATATATCATATTAACCTAAACTTTAATCTCACTAATTATATCATCTTTTATATATGATGCTCGACAAATATTATCAAATTATTTTTTTATCATACATGCTATCAAATCTTTTTTTCCATATAAATCAAAATATATATTTTATAATTGACTAAATCATAAAAAATACTCATAATTGATCAATCATTTTTTATCATGTGACATAAAAATGTAAGTTTTACAAAATATTTTACAATTTTATTCAGCAAATAATATGTATATGATAAAATTAAACTTATTTAATATCATATAAATGAGTTAAGTTAATAATTTTAAAATTATGATTAAAATGATAAATTATTTAAAAGTTTAAAATACAAATTATACATTTTTATTGATTGTTCTATTTTCAACTACCAACAAAATACACATGAAGAAAAGAAGCTCAAGACTTAACGCCCCTCAAGCCTTCCCATTATAGTTCAAACATTCCATTGAAATAGGGAATTAAAATCGCAAAGAAACTGAGGCCGATGCAACACGTGGTAATGGCTAGCCCTGAAGATGGTTCTAACACCGCATATGTACCTGTACTGAAAGCAACCACCATGGCTCCCACTGCATAAGCGGTGCACTGAGTGGCGAATTGAAGTGAAGAATATGACCTTTCACTTTGAAAATAAGGCAATGCCATTGCAAAGTGCATGAAAACGGCAACAAGAGAGCAAACCAAAGCCACGGCATCTGTTACTACAAACGCTTGAAAAGCTACGTTATGAATTAGAATAGCGGTGCCTTTGTCGTCTGCGGTTTTTTCGCTGACGAAACCACCAGGTAAAGTTATTGCTGCTGCGAATGTCACAGTTGCTATAAGTGCTGCCACGACTAAATGTGCTTCTCTTGCTTTCTCAATGGCCAGTTGGTTTCTCCCAAATTTGTTTATGGGACGAACTCGAACTTCGGCCACTTCTCCGTCAACAACATCTTCTAACAAGTTGGCAATTTGTTTCTGTAACACATTCCTGACTTGGATTAATTATCACTCATTATATATTGCCTCTGTTCTGTTCTACGTTGCTTTGGAAAAAGAAATAAGAAAACACTTGGTCCTCAATTACTAAGAATAATCATTTAATTCTTGGAATAGAAATAGCAAAATATCCGACAATAAAATGAGAAGAGTCAACACATGGGATTAAAATAATTGAAAAAACTGTTATGCATACAAAATTATAAAGTACAAAATTAATGACAAAATAAGGAATATTTCACACAATAGTCTATTTTTTAACGAAATTAAAAAGTATAGTATGCTAAAATATCACTCATTTAATAATGTGTGGTAAATTGGATTTATCACCTTAAACAGAATATTAAAATTTGATCTTATCTTTGTCAATTTATTCAATAATGATATTCAACAATGAGTGGTAAAAAGCTTGAGCTTGGCTTGGTACAGCTCGTGAAAATATTTTATTTAAAAAATATAGTTATTTAATGTTAATTTAAATTTATTTTTTAGTTATTAAAATGTTAATATAAAAATATTTTTAAATATATTTTAATAATAAATTTAAATAAAATGAGTTAAAGGGGATTTGATAAGCTAATTAAATCAAACCTTTAACAAGCAATTTATTGTGTCAACCAGGCTCGGCCCATAAAAACCTCCGATCTCAAATAAATTAGCATCTAAATTTGGTAGAAATTTAATTTTGTGATGGCATCAATTTCTAAAGAATATTTAAGTATTGGATGAACATACCTTTTTTGTGGCACTCAGGTTATTGCTAATCTTGCGAAATTCAATGTTGCTGCTAAATCCGAAATATTCCCCAAAAGGTGGTAAGATACTCAAAAGTAACCCAAAAGGTGGTAAGACACGCGAAAATAGCCCCAAAGATGGTAAGATAAGCGAAAATCCTCCACATGCAATGTACACTTCTAGAGGAGTGTTACCATTTTCATCTTTCTCATCTCTAAGATTTGCAACGGATGCATGTGCCGTCCCTGTTTGACCGTATAGAAAAAGATCGGCTGCATAAGGAGAGCATCTAATTGAGAGAAAATGAAGTACATTCCAACCTCTTTTGTCCACCATTTCGCAACAATCTGGACAAGAGGTGATAATCTCCCTTACTATCCGTTCATGGCCTTGCCTGGCTGCCATTAGAAGAGGTGTCATCTCTGTCTCTTTATCAGCTATGTAGGCAGCAGTTCTATCCCCTTTTAGTAACTCTTTCACGACTGAATAGTGACCTAAATGTGCAGCATAATGAAGAGGAGTGTGACCCTTTTCATCTGGTTCCTGTTTCAAACTCCCTTCCTCTTCTAATATCATTCTTGTTGCCTCTAAAATGAGGAAAAAAAAACTGTTAGGAACACCTGTTTAGGTTATCGCAGTTCTAACAAAATTAGCTTAAAGAATGGATTGTACAATTAATTATTTTAGTATATGTGAAAGCTTATTGGTATGATTATAAATTTGAAGGTACGTAACTATATATCTTTCATTTCCTATGCTAAATTAATATCCTCCTTCATAAATTCGAACTTAAAATCTACTATTTGCATCAACCAATATAAACTGTCTTCAAATTTTAACATGTAAGATACCATTCACTAGCATGCATGCCACCTAACTTTCTTTTATCGGGGAAGAAGAGATTCGAAAATCTTATATTATATATTACAATGATCCTACTATTATTATTATTATTGTGATTGTGATTGTCTAATTATTATAGTAATCTTATATTATATATTACCATGATCTTATTATTATTATCATTTTGATTTTATCATTGTAGTGATCTTACCGTTAGAGGTGTACATAGGCCAATTAGAGATAGCCCTCGCTTAATTGACACCTCTAAATTCTAAGTCTAGAGTCAGATCAATCCAGGCTCGTCCATTTCAATTGTAATAAATATATTAAAATCTTAAAATATTTTATATTAATATATATTTTAAGATAGAAAATATTATTTATTGATAAAATAACATAACGGGTCGAATGAGACTTGACCTAAAAATCTTGGTTAAGACCGTGAGTCTTATGGATGGTCCAAATTTGAAACAAAATGTAATCACAGGATTACAATTAGAAGAAACCAAATCACCGAGAAAAATTGAAGCCACAAGAGATGTAGGTAATGTTTACTATACAAAAGGAAAGCATGTAATAAAAATGATTTTTAGTTATTTATTTTTTGTATCTAGTAATCGAATTCTCAAATTTATATGTTACGATAAGTATTACTTAATGGCTCGATTGATGAAAAACTAAGAGAAATACCAAAATCTTATGGGTTTATAAATTTGGGGCTATAAGTGACTCTTGGTAATTTGAGATCAATGTGATATTTCGCTCAAAATTTATGATCATTCTTTCTATTTACTTTATTTATAGTAAAAATTTTAAAATATATATATTTGAACATATATATAAAAGATTTTGAAAATTTGATTTATCTAATCGATAAAATGATGTTATTTTTACACTATATTAATTGAATCAGGTTAACTATGTTATACGGCCATTTGTTTTACCCAAAAATACCGGTTAATGGTTGGTAGATGGATTCAGATGGGTTTTAGTTTAAAATGAGGATAGATTTATGGAAAGACTTAAATGAAATTTTTAGATGAAATTAATGAAAGTTTTTATTAAAAGTATTAAATATAAATTAAAATTTTCATTACATAAATTAAACGTATAAAATTTTTAAAAAATTTAATAAATTTTGATATATTTTTAAATAAAAATTTTTAATAAAAATATTTATAAAATTTTTCTCTATAAATAAATATAGATTAAATTTAAATTATAAATAATATTTTTATTTTTCACATCTTATTAATTTTTATATTAAATTTTATAATTTATTTATTTAAATTATTTATTAAAGGTTTTGCCAACGATGTAGTGGAGACTGTTCACACGTAGATGCAGTACAAAGGGGTTTTATTTGATTACCTCGATTTCCGGCCATAACTGCAGCATGCAAGGCTGTTCTGCCATGGGGGCCGCCATGAGCGTCTGCTTTGAATTTATTTAGTATCTCGGCCACCAGGCGATCACTTCCTTTCCTAGCTGCTATGTAAAGCGGAGTCTCCTTGCTCTTATTGGCAGAATATGAAAATTCAGGATCTTCTGATTCGAGCAATGCTCGCACCACTCCAAGATGGCCATGGTTAACCGCTGTATGTAAAGGCGTATTTAACTCTTCATCGGTCGTTCTGAGCATCTGTCTGGCTGCTTCCATTCCTTGCTGCTCTGGGTCTCCATTTAGAGCTTTTGCGTGTTTGACGAGAAATTCCACAACAGCAGAATGACCATACCTCGCTGCAATATGTAATGGAATTTCACCTCTGGCATTGGGCTGCAGCAGTAGTGACGGGCACTTTTCAAGAATTCGGGCAACGAAACTGGTTGGTTGTACTACTGTGGCTTTGGACAGTCGCTGTGACAGAAGTTGGTACGAAAGTTGTCCAGCAAAATAGCGGCGATATTTAATCATAGCTTGCTGCGCTAACGATAACGGCTGGTTGTAACGATCTTTATCCGTCGCCAAGTAAACATGGAGCACCGAGTTTCCTCTTGGGGTCTTTAGTAACTTAAGATCTGTCTCTCCGTAATTTTCGAATTCCTTAATTTTGCCTTCACCTGCAGCCTCATACAAAGCTACGCCCATATAAGAGATGTTCCTTACTGGCTGATCTGGTTGATTAGCTACGCTAATTTCCGAAGGATTGGAGTTTGATGACGACGGATCCATTTGTATGGCGCCTAAGCCTCACTACTTATCTACTGCTCACAGCTTTCTATTCCTCTCTGCTTACATCCCTTTTAAAATACTCTTTCAAACACCAGTGGCTGACCCCGGAACTTTTTCATTGAATAATATTATCCCTTTCTTTTATTTAGAGTATTTTTATACGATAGTATTGAAAAAATTAAATATAATAAATTTTCTAATAAATAAATATTGTTTAACATTTTTAAGCTAAAATACTAAAATAACCTCTAAACTTTCGCACCACTTTTCAATGAGCCTCTTATATTTATTGTTCTAATAAATCTTTAATTTGTAATTTAAATTCAAATAAATTTTTATTTCAAATGAAACATTGATATATGTTTCTGACCATATTAACTCAATTATTTTTTGTTCAGAGGTAAGCTAACGTGATGACTTGAAACGGCCTAAAATTAAATTTTGAAAAAAATATTTTTGAAAAAATTAAATAAATAATTTCCTTTTTTTATTCTTTCTCTCTCGACTGCTTCGTTCTCTCACTCTCACTTTCCCTCGTTCTGATCAATTCTAATAATTATTTGGTTAGACCAAATACCGGACATGGCTGGAAACGACTTTATAGCAGCTCGAAGTGACCTAAAAGAAGTCGGATCTCGACATAGATCTCAACTGTTTCAAGCCACTCTAAACGTGTTTTAAGCTCATTTTCGGCCATGTCGATCAAGATCCACCTCCACTGGTTGATTCGACCAAACAATGGTCAACATCAATCTAGTTGACAGCTAAGAGTAGGACATGAGAAGAGAAGACAGAGAAAAGAAAAACATAAAGAAAAAGCAAAACTTTTTATTTTCTTATTCTTTAAAAAATACTTTTTTAAATTTTGAGTCACATCATCCGATTCTTTCAACTTTGACGTGCATAAAAAAAACCAGTTGTCATTGACTAACGCAAATCAACCTTCCATTTGGGAAAAAGAAAAATCACTTCCTCTATCTCATGAATAAAAGAGGGATCATTTATAATTTTTTTATTATAATTAATTAATTATAATAAAATTTTATTATTTATAAATATAAATTTCATATAAAATTTTAATAAATTTTATATATTTTAAATTATAATTAATTAATTAATTTTATAGGTGAAATACTTCTACAAATAAATAATGTCTAATTTAACTTTTTACAGTAATTTTTTTTATTTTTGATATTTTAAATATTGTTTTGAACTAAATTTTTACCGAAAAAATATTTAAAAAGCTCTTCATTTAAACTTAAAAAAGTTTAATAATTAAAAGTCAAATTAAGACAATATTTATGGAAAAAGAGAGAATATTTAATTGAATTAGAATGTTAAACACTACTGAAAATTTTGGTTTTATTAATAAAATTTTTTGTCGGTAAAAATTGAAAGTTCATCGATAATAGTATTAGCGACAGATTTAGCAATGAAAAAATTTCAACAATGATAATTATGTCTGTAATATTATTTCATCGATAATGTTAAAATCTATTAGTAATTATTGACAGATTTATTATCAAGAAATTTTTGGTTGATAAAGTCATTAATAATAAGCATAAAAATGATTACAAAAAAATTTTTTTATCAGTAAATCCATTGATAATGATAAAAATTATATCGGTAATAATAAAATTTCATCGATAATTATAAAAATTCTATCGATAATAATGAAATTTCATTAGTAAATTTTATGGTAAAATATAATTTTATCAATAATTTAAATAAAAACATTTATAATTATTCAAAAAATTTGTAATTATTTTCAAACCTTGTAATTTAAATTTAAACATGAATAATTATTTAAATAAGCTATTATTATTAATTAAAATATCAAATCCAAATAACATCCATCAAATACATCATAAAACATCTGTAACATCCATAAAGCATCATAAAACATCCATCCATAAAACATCCATAGGCATTCATCCATCAAATACCTCATACAAATCTAACAAAGAATGTCATAGTGTGTTGTTGTATCTCCTAATCCAAAATTTTTTGTATCGTCATTAGGTTTAGAATATTGTGATGGTGAATATGTATAGCCCCTATCAATTGCATCATCTGATCCATGAATGACCTAAACTCAACTTTCAGCTCAGTCTTCAACTCATCAATTCATTCTTCTATCTGAGGCTAATGAGCTTGAAGAGGCATAGATGACAGACCGTAAACATAGTTAGACGATCCTGATGTAGCAGTAGACTGAGTTAAGTGAAGAAGGTCCCTAGATCTATTTGCTGATCCAAAGCCATACACATAAGTGTGTGTAGTTTCAAGCCCTCTAATATCTTTAATCGATGCTTACGGATCGAAATCTTGATGATTCAACAGTTTTCACTATATTTCTGAGATAATGCAACAACATAGTTTTCATACAAAAAGTTTAAAATAATTATTACTATAGGACCTATATAGTTCACTAAAATATCATAACTTCAAACAATTCATAACTTCAAGCATAATTTTCACATTTTACAAAGTTATTGCATTTCAATATACACCAAACTATCTAGTTTAATACATGATTTCCTTCAATTGATTTGTTTTCAATTACTTCACTATATACTTCATCAACAATTATAATACACAAACAAAACAAAAAATAAAAATATGCAATAATTTTTACTTTTCACAAATGCGATCTCATCTAGATAATATATAGAAAACTTTCACAAATAAGTAGTAATTGAATATACTATTAACATATATAGTTCATCAATAATCACAATATATAACCATTATTACAATGCAAAATACATATAATAAAAATTGTTAATCAACAATCACAATACAGAACAATCATCACAATTCAAAAAACATAATAGTTTTCACGCTTTACAAATATTATCTCATTGCAATATATTATAAAGATAGTTAAGCAATATTATAATACACAAACATAAGTACAAAGCAAATTCATAATAGTTTTCACTTTTCACAAAGTTTTTCATCACAAAACATATAAGATATTTTGACCTGGACTATTTTTTCTTGGAAATATCATATTGAAGAAGATATATTCTCGCTTTATACACAACCATGGTGGTAAATTATATAGCATTATCATTACTGGCCAACAAGACTATAGTTTCACACTTAGACCAAATGAACAAAAACCATCAACAAATAATCCTAATTGTACATATCTCATTTCAAGTGCAAATGATTCATGGTTACAATTGAAATGTTTTCAAGCTTCATTATAATAGGATGTCGAAGCACACCATAATGACTTTGGTTATAAGGATGCCACATCAAATATTTAATAGTTTTAGTTGACATATAAAGTTTTGAAATCTCTATAGTAACATATAATGTAAGATTTTATAAAGAATTTTTTTGTTGTCTCACCACCAGAGTTATCCCTTATATATTGAGAATGACCACAAACCAAACAATATGTCAAATTTGCTACTTCCTTATAAAATAACATGCAATTATATGAATTTTTTTATCATGAAGTCCAGTTTCATCATTTTTTTTTCATTTTGTAGAAATTTTCTAATAATATATCATCCACTGGCAATATATCCTTCACATACTCAGCAAACGATCAAAACATGACTTATTAATGTTAAACTCTGATTTACAATTTAAAAGTTGGGACATAGTAAAGAGGATTATGTGCTTCGTATAGCATGACCACAATGGTTCATCCACATCATTCAATAAAGAATAGAAGCTTGTTGCATTTATACTTAGATCTTTTCAAATGGTTCTCTTGCCTCACTAGCATTCATACTAGTTCTCTTGTCACGTCCACCCTAAAGCCAAGATATACAAGCATCCATAACCATTCTACTATAAGAATTTTCTATTCTTATTTCCTCAATTGTTCAAAGGTATCTCTATTTATTAAACAAGCTTGTTCTACTTCTAACTCCCCATGTGAAACCTAACCTATTATAAACCCCTTATAATAAAGATGCTTATACATAGCATCCGCTTTTAAAAATAATTTATTCTCACATTTGGCAAAAGAACACCTAATCATCCGTTACTAATAAAGTTTGGTTGATGATAAGGATATCTAATAAATTCCTCCACACTATCACAGAAGTTTTGAGTAATGTATCGTTAACATCTAAATAAGAGTACATCTAAGAGTGATTTTTGTCCATTATTAAATCCTAATTGAATTGAACTATGAGCAATTAAAGTCATATAAAGTGTTAAACCTTTTTATTGATTGACTATATGAGCAATTATTGTTATACTAAATAAAATTATCTAAATAATAATATGAGATAATTATTGATCTACTTTAACAAATAGTCCATCAATGGCATAAAAGGTCTTGCAAAAATTCATCATACATACTACAAGACAACACATTCACAACAAAACATTATTGGTTTTAATGACAGAACTTTACTTTGATCTTGGCCTACCTAGTGTAAGTTCATCGATTTTGCGAAGAATTTCTCTGATCGAGACACTTTAACGTACGAAGCTTGTTCTACTTTTAAAATAGGTGGAATAGAAAATAAAGTGAGTTAGTATGATGAAAATGAATAAAAAATCATATTCATTACATAATATACATCCACCTAAACCCACTTTCATAACACACATTAACGGATAAATTATGGGAAAGAAGAATGAAATAGAATAATTTAATTTATTTATATTAAATTTAAGCAATACAATAAAATCACAATATTTCAATAATTAGTAATATGTAAATTTAACTAAACTATCAAATTTGTAAATTACTTTAAAATAAATATAAATCTTAATAATATATAATTACTCCAAAATAATAAATAAATTAGAACTATATAAATTATAACCTCAAATCAACATAAATAATTTTAATTTCTATAATTATTATTAAAATTTAGAAAATATTAAATATAAAATATCCATCAAAATATATATAAATCTTAATAAATATCAAATCCAAATTAACTAATATAAATCTTACACATCTTAAAGTTAATAAATCTATAACAAAACCCAACAAATCTCAACAAAATTTTCACAAATAAAAAATAAATTACTCAACAAATAAAAAAAATTCTTAACAATACTAAAAATAAATCCAAAAAAATTTAACAATACTCAACATTGATACTCAACAAAAAAAAAGTCAACAAAAATATATAACCAACAAATATCAATAAATATATAACCAAAACCCAAACAAATTTCAACAAACATAAAATCAACAAAAACTCAACAAATTGGTAACTAAAACCCAAATAAATTTCAACAAATAAATAACCAATGAAAACTCAACACATTGATAACCTAAACCCAACAAATTTTTAACAAATTTATAACAAAAAATTAAACCCTAAACTTAACAAATATACGACATAAAATATATCATAAAATAAAATATTAAAAAAAACTTATTGGATTGGAGGGATGACTTGTCAGCTGCTCGACACACTTGGACGATAAGGAGGAGCAGCAATGACAATGGGGAGAAAGGGAGACGGAGAGTAGGAGAGGTGAGGGGAGAGAGGAATTAGGGATTTGATTTTAGAATTTGGGGGAAAATGAATTTGTACAAAGGGGT